AAAGATTTTAGTACATAATTTAAGATTCTAAGTTTAACTAAAAATTTTATTTGAAGCAAAAGAAAATAACCTCAGGTCATTTTCATCCATTTGTGTCGGTGAGATGTTAAAATATGAAAGGTTAGAATTTATAAATTTATTAAAATAAAATTAAAAATTAAAAAATTAGTTTTTATCAAGAATTTTGTACAAAATTTTTTTTGGTTTCTCGTTCGGTATCCGGGGCTTCACCCCGATTAATTCAGACCCGACCTGGGTCGCACACCTGAAAATGGTGAGTGAGTCTCCTAATGAAGGCTGCTGCATACGTAAGGACTCGAACTTGAGACCTTACTTAAGCTGGAACAAACCGCTTACCACTTGATCCAACCCTTCGTTAGTATTTCGTACAAAATTTTTCAATGAACACATCATCCGCCTCGAGGGGGAATATTTCTGCCTACCCCACTCCCACAATCCAACGGAGCTTGAGTAAGGTTACCATCCCTAGACAAAGATGGGAAGGAGAGTGTCAGAGGAACAAGGGGTTAAGGCCATCTATCGTCCCTCTACTATCCAAAATAGTGCATTCTAAACCTTCTACTATGAATTGGCTTCATATCGTCCCTCTACAATGTAAAAGCATGCACTTGTCGTCCCTCTACAATGTAAAAACATGCACTTGTCGTCCCTCCATCCAATTAAGCTAACAGCTGTGTTTGTTGACTGTTAAGTGCCAACTGTCACACCCGGTTAGGCCCTTTTTTTTTTTCTTGCCACCTTGCTTTGTGGGTCCCACCCTAGTGCGTCCAATTAGTCAATTACCCTTAATATTGATTTCTATAAAAAAACAAGAATGAGTAAATTTAGTACTTATATAATGTAAAAAATCAATGAAAAACCTATAAGGTGGTAAACTAAAAGGTTCTATTTCAACTTTCTAATTAATAAGAAACTGATTTCAAGGTATTTATTAGTTAAATATTTTATATATATTAGCCATGATATAATGATCAACTAAAGAGGAATTATCAGATAGAGAATCTTCAATATGTGAGACTAAAAAGAAAAAAAACAAAAATGATCTTCAATAAAATATTGAATGGATGACAAAATAAATAAATAATAAATATTGCACATTTGGGCAGATTCTACCCTTCCTCACATAAAAATGTTTATTTGTTTATTTATTTATTTGATGAAGCTCACATAAAAATGTTGGTTTTTCCTTTTTTTTTAAAAAAAAAAATTTTCTCCTTTTACTATCAATTGTTTCTCCCATTGCAACTTTATGTTTAAAGGTTCTCCACTTCAATATGTGTTGCTTTATGGAAGGCAATATGAGGTATGGTAAAAGTTTAGTTCTTGAGGATTGATAGACCCTTATGCTTAAATGATTAAGAGGCTAGAATACTTGCCCTCATTATTTGCATAATTGATTTTCAAGTTTTAACCCCTTGAAATTTCTTTTGTAATATACTTTCTCCAAAAGCTTCTTAACCTTCTCCATTCTCCTTGAAGGTGCTTACACGATTTTAATTAGGTAATTTCAGGTCCAAATTCAAATTTATACTAACAGTTGAGGCTTATTTTCAAAAGGAATACCAAAGATACACCAAAGATTTTCCATTCTCCAAATTGTTTCTATAAGTAGATAAGTTAATTTCATTTTGAAGGATTTTTTAATATTTTCTTTCACACATTGCACTCTATACACATACTCTAACA